AGACCCTATCAAGCTGCTCTCCCTCTCCCCCTCCCCACTTCAGGCCTCACCTACCATCCCCCCCAGTCCATTGCCACTGTCACCTCAGGCTGTCAGGACGCAAGGCCAGAGCTGGCTTGGCCACCCCCCCGTGGGCCATGGCAGCACGGCCACCACCTGCTGTCCGAACACTTGCACTCCGATTGGTTGTTTTAGACAATCAGAGTGCAAAAAAAGTGTTATGGATAGACAGACTAAGGTTTTTATAAATATTAAAATAATCTATATTAGCAAACATGCACACTCTATGGAGGAGTCTGGCTCTTCTTCTCCAGAGGAGACTCACTCACTGCATGAGGTCCCAGAGGAAGCTAGTGTGAAAAGATCCCAGGAGTGCTCCAGACTGGCTCTTTGCCAGGGCTCACTACTTTGGGAGCAGCCCTCACCTGCAGGCAGGGCACAGTGCTGGGATGCCCACACAGAGCCCAGAGGCACCTGACCCCTCTGTGGCAGCTCAAGTTGCACAACCTGTCCTCTTATCTCTGGACACGGAGGCAGCAATCTTCCAGTCCCTGAAGCACCCTACTCTGTTCCCCAGCTGGTTCCATGCTAGCTACGCTGCCACAGGGGACACGTGCTCCAGAAAGTGGGGGGGCTCAAGTACAGGACTGGGACACTCCAAGCCCCAACCCCTGTGCTCAGACACACTCCCTGCCATTCAGGCCTTTACTTCCCTACCCACTCCCCCCTCCTTGAAGAGCAAGGGAGAAGAAATCCCCCCTCACGCACACAATACCCAAGCGTTTTTGCTTTCTGAAGGGGGGGGGGGGGGAAGCAGGGTTACCAACCATCTGTAAACTTTACAGACATCAAAATATGTTTACAGACTTTATGGACAAGCATTTTAACCACCATTTTTTAAAACAGTGACAACTCTGTTAAAGATCCTGAGTAAACATGCAAAAGGTGTTCACTGCTTGTTATGCAACTGCTAGCCCCACTGCACCCATCACATAACAGCAGTAATTGTCCATATCTGCAAGTTAAACATTAACAACTGGTTGGGATGTTCTAATGTCAGATACTACCCTAAGTCTGAGAAGAAATTCTCACACTGCTATATGGGATACCCTCCTCGATGGCCCTAGGCACTGCTCTTTCAACTATAATCACATTTATTTAAGAAATGTCTGTCCTCTTCCCACACTGTCTTATTCCTCATGTTTCTCAAATTCAGGACTCTCCAATCAGACTGACTATTGGAATAGAGTAAGATCATGGCTTTTACCTATGCCATACTCTTTAGTGTGTGGGAAGTGTGAGAAATGACAGCAATCTATAGTTGCAACAAGGTACCTTCTCTCTAACCCAGAGGGAGGGCGCAAAATTCCTGTTTAATACAAAGGGAGGGCGCAAAATTCCTGTTTAATAGGTCCACAAGCCACAGAGCAAAGGGGTGCAACTAAAACCACACTGACAACATTAGTCTACTCTTATGCCAGGGGATAACACTTGCAAAGCTTTCATTTTATTTCACTAGAAATTCTACAGAAGCCTTTGCTGTGCTTATTCCTACATTCAGTCCTGGGACAGAAAAGATGCCAAAAATCTAAAGCAAATTTGGGTTGTCATCTTGTAATCTGATGTTGTATAAGATTAATTTATGCATAAGTAGTTAGGTACATTGCTAATATGTTAAATTAATCTTTAAGGCTTGACACTACAGCATGAGCTAAAATACAGATACAGGCAACCCCCGCTTAGTACTTTTACTTGGGTCCTGAAAAACTGAGCATTAAGCAAAACAAGCATTAAGTGCAACCTAAAGTATTTGGCAACCCAAGATGGTGACTACACGCATTTTTAATGACCCAAGATGGCGACCACGAGCGTTACAATGGAACTTGCTGAGCGCAATGGAACTTGCTGAGCGCTAAGCGAAATCAGGTATCAATTTAAAGTGACCTTATTGTGAAATAGCGCTAAGCGAAACAGCGTTAAGCAGGGGTTGCCTGTATTAGTCAAATTCTTAGTATGACTGTCCAATTTATTTTAGATTGTTAATTGTAACTGTGCGTCCAATTAACGCTGAAGCCTGAGCAGAAGTGATTTCATCCTATCACATAGGAAGGCCAAGTCTTACAGACCTGATCTCAATTTACCAGCATCACATAAATTAACACGGCACCAAGCCAAAACCTAAATCCTCATTGTACAATCTGTTTGACTGACTCATGCATCTTACTACTATCCCATTTCCTAGAAAACAGATCTATTTCTGCCCACTCCTATGCTTCCCCTCATTTCCAAGCATACGTAAAACAATGAAATAATAGCTAACTTCTTGTTTGTGTGCCTACTTCCAGTATCCCTTGCTCAATGTAATGACTTCCAGTTAATAATTTAAGTTACTGTAGATAAGCCTATGCCAGTTTAAGCAAGGTTTAAAAAACAGGGTTGATCAGGCAAAGATCATTTATGCCCGAATTGAAAATGTATTCAGGACTATCGATGGAAGCAGGCAACAAGCCAACAAATCATCACATAATTTACCACAGCTCCTGCCCCAACTCTGTCTGGTTTCCAAAGGCAATGGCACATAATCAACAAGCTGCAGTTTCACAGGGGTTTCCAAGGTTTTTTATGGAAGCCAGGTACTGTATCAAGGTTTTTTATGGAAGCCAGGTACTGTATCCTTCAGAAGGGAACACAGGCTTGTGAGAGGTGGAGAAGTTGCAGTGCCAATGAGCTCTTTCCAGCCATTTAAGGGACTGGCAACACCAGTCACTGAACAGAGATGAACTTTAAATAAAGGTGGAGCAGAGACATCACTGACCAGAGACGGACACTTTCATGGCCTTGTCTTGAGAAGAGATTGGCCAGGGAGCACAATTCCTCATCCAGGCTGCACCCATAACACCCAATGTAAGAGCTGAGCCACCTTCACCCACATCCTGCCCGGCCCCGCTCCAAGCAGGCACACTCCCGGCTTCTACGTTGCAGAGACCCCAGGAGCACCGGGAGCTGCGCCGGGCTCCGATGTGAAAGGCAGATGGAGCGAGCGCTGAGCCCGCCCCCGGGACGCCGCTCTGGGGAAGGAGGCACCCCCCCCCGCAGGGGGCGCAGGCGAGCAGGCCTCCCCTGGCCCCGAGCACCGCGGCGATCGGTTCTCCAGGGGGCGCGAGGAGAAAGAGGCGCTCAGCGCGGACGCTGCAAACGTGTCTCCCTCCCGGCAGCGCCGAGCGCCCGCAGGACAGACCCCAGCGGAACCGAACCGAACCGGCCCAGCCCAACCCTCCCCGGCGGCTCCACCCGGCTCCCCCGCGCCCCGCCGCTACCTACACGCCGGCCCGCTGCTCCCGCTCGCTCTCTGCGCACCCGCCGCGCCTGCTACTGCTGCGGAATGACGTAACAGAGAGGAGTCACCTGACTCCCTGGTGACAGGGGCGGGGCCGTGCGTCACCAAGGGGCTGGAGCC